AAAATGGAAAGGGATGATGACAAATTATTAAATTTTCTTTACACATCTTTGAATTATGTCATCTGTTACATTAAGCACATATCACTTCTGTAAAATACATTAATAAAGAACATTGATACGGAAAGCAACTACCTTATTCATTTAAAACACACACACACAAAAACACTGATCAAGAGAGTGTTTGTACATAATGTACATGGTCTGTCATAGTTACAAGAAGCAGTAAGCTCACCAAAGACTAAAATGCCAAAGTCTAATTATTAGGTTACAGCAGATGTTTTTTGAGGCAGGAGCATGAGGGGAGCCTCTGGGTTTGTAACTTTCCTCTTGCCTGAGCCCCTATTCTACTGGGCAGCCCAGTGCCCTCCCCTGTAATTAAATGAAGTCATGTGGGTGATGACTTAGCACAGTGTCTGGAACCAGCTAGTACTCTACCTCACAAAAAGGTCCCACAGAATCAAGGTCACTTACCTCCTGTTAGATGGGATCAGCTTTCCTCCCAGGGTAAATATCACATAAATTACTGAAGCAGAGATGTATGGTCTCCTCAAAGGGCAACATATCCCTCTCCTCTGAGAGCTCCTGCCTGAGATGTGACATAGGTCACTACCTCTAAACCTCTCCCACAGCATAATCCTATGATTAGTGGGGTGCTTCCTCAATGGATCATGCTTTAGAATTGTCAGGGTTTTACAACCTTGGTCCTATAGAGATTTCGGACCCAGTGTTTCTTTGTTGTCAGGGGCTGGGTAGGGGGTAACCTGTGTTTTGTAGGATGTTTGGTGGCATACAACATACCAAACTGCTCAAGCCAAAACTTTACCCACTAGATGCCAGCAGTATCCAGCCCTCCCAGTTGTGACAAAAATATCTCCAGACATTGCTAAGTGTCCACTAAGGGGCAAAACTGTCCCCAGTTCAGAACCACTGTCATAGATCAATTTCGTTGTTCTTCAGTTATCCCATAAGAACCTGGGGCTAGGACTACACATTAATGTCCATGTGCCCCACCTCCACCACCAAAAACCCCCACAAAACTTGAACGTTTAAACTTTAAGACCCGTGAAAATCAAGTTTCCTGAAGCATTTATCTAACATTTTAGTGCAAATGTTCTCACTTATGGGTGGCTGCCAAAGGACAATAGGCAAGGAAAAATTAGGTAGGTCAAGCCAGGCCCTGTGGGGATGAGAGGGAGGGATGAGGTGTTCAGTTTTCCCTGATGAACAAGATCTCAAATTCACTCGGGCAGCATAAAATGAGTGAGACAGGCTGGCAGAAGATAGCTGCTTAGTCGTATGGCTTTAAATACCATCTATGTACTGATGACCCCACATTTTATATTTCTTGGTTGTTGTTAATCCTCATCTGCCCTTGACCAGAAATTGAACCCGTGATTCCCCAGAGCTCCGGCCAACACTCCAACCACTGGGCCACACCAGCCTTGGCCCACATTTTATATTTCCAATCCTCACCTCCCTCACAGTAGCCAGCTTCTTGCATTCCACTGCCACTCAACGTCTCCCTTTGGGTCTTATACAGGAATCTCAAACTCAGCATGGCCAAAACGGAACTGATTTTCCCTCCTAAACCTGGTCCTCCTCCGGTATTTCTCATAAATGGCCAGACCACCGTACAACAAATGGCTCAAGCCCAAACTGAAGTCATCCTTGATTCTTCTATTCCTCTTTCC